ACACCAAGATAAAAACCTACTTGACAGGCTGGGCGCAGTGGCTCATGCCTATATTTCCAGTACTTTGGGGAGGGCAAGGCGAGAGGATCACTTGAGGTCAGGAGTTCAACACCAGCCTGGTCAGCACGGTGGCACCCCAGATACACTAAATATACAAAAATTGGCCAGACATGGTGGTGTATGCCTGTAGTCCCTGCTACTCAGGAGGCTGAGGAAGGAGAATGACTTGAACCTGGGAGGCAGAGGTTGCAGTGAGCCGAGATCACGCCATTGTACTCCAGCCTGGGCGACAGTATGAGACTCTCTCTCAAAAAAAACAAAAAACACCACAAAACCTACTTGACCTTCCACTCTGCTTTTGTGCCACTCAGTAATTCTTACGAAACAAAAAATATTCTAAAAGTGCTTTCCTCTTCAAAAATTCAGAATCCTAACTGGAATAAGATTAACTAGCCTGAAACTCTGTAGCTTTATAAGCTTTTTAAACAAAGTTTCCTTTGGCATTCTCTTTAGATCTAGAAATTAACTGAAACATGATCAGCAATACTGATAAAACACAAAATACAAGCAATTAGCAAGTATCATTTTTACTAACTTACAGATCAGCTAATTTTTGTTTATAATGTGTACTAAAATCAAAAGCAGTCTTATATAATGGAAAACATTCTGTAATTCAGATCGGTTCTTTTATTGGAATGTGGCATAAACATTAATGTGAGTTATTTTGAAAAGAAAATTGATCAACTTTGCTCAAGTACTACCTAGGAAAAATAAGAGGAAACAAAGCTAAACTACTTAAAAAGTAGTTTAAGAGTTCAGCTAAACCCGTCCAAAAATTATTTTACTGTAAGAGACTGATACCTGAAAATCCCAGGCCCTTCGCCAAAGGAAAATCATTAATAAGAGGACAGCATTGTCTTACATACTTTTGGCATTTACCTACCTATAAATGGAGAAGGGACTTAAATGAACTCTAAGTCCATCGGAAGTTTAGAGTCTTTAAAACAAGCCAAAGCAAAACAAAATATACACCCCAAGAGCAAAAACAATAGGAACATAAGAAAAATAGTACTAAGAGTCACATGTCTCTATAGAATAGATTTCATAAAGCCTCGATTCCTTGTTTGTAGGATTAACTGAAAATAAAAAACAGCAAACAAAGGCTGGGTGCAGTAGCTTGTGCCTATAATCCTAGCACTTTGGGAAGCTAAGGCAGGGGAATCAGTTGAGTCCAGGAGTTTGGGACCAGCCTGGGTAACACAGCAAGACCCTGCCCTGTCTCTACAAAAAAAGACATTTTTAAAAAAATTAGCCAGGCATGGCAGCATGCAACTGTAATCCCAGTTACTTAGAGGGAGGCTGAGGTGAGAGAATCACTTGAGCCCAGGAGGTCAAGGTTGCAGTAAACCATGATACTGTCACTGCAGTCCACCTGAGTGACAGAGTATTCTCCATCTCAAAAAAAAGGCAGGGCATGGTGGCTTACACCATGATCCCAGCACTTTGGAAAGCCAAGGCGGGTGGATCACTTGAGGTGAGGAGTTTGAAACCAGCCTGACATGGCAAAACCCATCTCTACAAAAAAAATACAAAAATTAGCTGGGATGGTGGCACATGCCTATGGTCCCAGCTACACAGGATGTTCAGGTAGTGGGAGAATCGCTTGAGCCCAGGTGGCAGAGGTTACAGTGAGCCAAGATCCCATCAATGAACTAAAACCTAGGCGACAGAGAAATACTGTCTTAAAAAACAAAACAACAGAAAACAGCAAACATTATGGGGCGCTGGAACAAAGCAACAAATGATTCAAAGGAACTAATGAGGGAATAAGAAGTTTTAGGTAAAAAACTTATTTGGCTGACCAGAAGTACCTCAAAGATCATAATAAATATGTACAATCTAAAAAAAATTACTATCAATCAAACATATATGAAAATTTACCTTTATCTTAGTATGTACATCAAAGATATCTGGGATGCTACCAAAAATAGTCTTAATCTCCTCTGGTGCAAGGATAGGTCCACCACGTTGTCCTTCCTCTTCCAGTGGTACCTGAAATAACTAAATGAGAAAAAAGACTAGTTTGAGTAGATTGTGGGAAAAAGCAAAGAACTAAAATATAGACAGTGATAAAGGAGAGAAGAAATGTTAATAGAGAAGGAGACACTAATAAAAAATACCCTAAATTGAAGACATTTCCCCCATATTTTTTACTTTATCCTATTTGTGTATTCTATTTATTTGTATACCTGTGTATATGTGTATACCTGTGTATATGTACATACATATGCTCCTCACAAAATGTTGTTTGAAGCAAATAAAAGTTCATCACACAGTTCTGCAAATCAATCATTAAGATTGTTAGTATGATACAAGAGTAATTTCTACTTTTGCATTCAAGTTATCAAGGAAGAAAGCAACAAAGCAATCTGTTATCTCTAGACATATACTTAACATATGTGCTAAGTGTTTTAGAAATGTTAGTATAGAAATTTGGCTTGAGGGAAGACTGGATTTGAAGCTAGAAGATCTGTTTGTATCCATGTTGCTGCTTGCATCAATCTTAAAAAATAAAAGAAAAAAACTAAGAATTAATAAATGAGTTTGGCAAGGCCACAAGATACAAGGTCAGTGCATGCATATGTGTGCAGACACAAATCAGTTTTACTTCTATATACCAGTAACTTAAAATAGAAAATAAAATTTTAAAAGTAGTATCACAATAAAAAATTAAAATATTTAAGTATAAATATAACAAAATATGTTCATGATGCTGAAAACTACAGTATACTGATGAAAGAAATCAAAGACAACCTAGATAAATGTAGACATACGGTCATGGATTGAAAGAATCAGCACAGTAAGAATGTCAATTCTCCCTCCCTCAAATTGATTTACAAATTTAATGCCAATCAAAGTTCCAGGACTTTTTGTAGATATAGAAAACCTGATACTAAAAATTTATATGGAAAGGCAAAGAAGCTTCTTGCTATAAAGCTGCAGTGTTCAAGACTGTATGGTATTCGTGAAAGGAGAAACATACATAGATGAATAAGACAGAGAGTTCAGAAACAAACTCATGCAAATATGGTCAAGTAATTTTAGGCAAAAGTACAAAAGCAATTCAATGCAAGAAGGTTAGTCTTTCAACAAATGGTATTACAATACCATTTGCCATAAGCAAAAAATGAATTTCAGCCTAAATATAACACTTTATACAAAAATTAACTCAAAATGGGTCATGGACAAACAAAAAACCTAAAACTATAAAACTTAGATGAAAACAAAGGAGAAAATCTTCATGACTTAAACTGGGGTAAAGAGTTCCCATACCTGATATCACAAACATAATCTAAGAATGAAAAAACTGTTAGACCTCAATAAAAATTTAAAACTTTCCTTCAGCAAAAGACACTTGAGAGAATTTTTAAAAATATGCTATGGACTATGAAAAAGTCTTTGCAAATCATGTTTGACAAAGGACTAGTATTCACAATATAAAAAGAATTCTCCCAGCCTGGCCAACATGGTGAAACCCCATCTTTACCAAAAATATACAAAAATGATCTGAGTGTGGTGGTATATGCCTGTAGTCCCAAGTGCTCAGGAGGCTGAGGTGGGAGAATCACTTGAACCCTGGAGGCAGAGGCTGCAGTGAGCCAAACCAAGAGGGCACCACTGCACTTCAGCCTAAGCGACAGAGTGAGACCCTACCTCAAAAATTTTTAAAAAAAGAACTCTCAAAACTCAGAAGGAACAACCCAATCTTAAAATGGGCAAAAACCATGAACAGTTATTTTAACAAAAAAGATATACAGATGTCAAATTAAGACAATATATTCAACACCGTTAGTCACTATGAAAATGAAAGCTGAAACCACAATGACAGATTCTATCTTTCCAATATTTCCCAAATCTATCCTCTTGTCTTCACTGATACTATTCTAAAAAAGTTCAGATCTTCAAAATCTCTCACGACTGCTGAAATAGGCTCCACATTAGTCTCATTGCTTTTCCAATTTCCCCTCTTCTATTACTCCTCCAAAGTAAACCAAGTTATCTTTCTGAAATGCAAGTCAGATATCACTGATCTCCTTTCCCATTAAAAAAAAAAAAAAAATTATTCTATAGCTTACAGATAGATAATATAGCACACCATTCAAAGGCTTTCTCTAGATTGGTATAGGCATCTCAACTCTCACTGTAACCATATGACTACTCCACCCTTAATATTGATAATACATTGAATGATTGCTTGTATTGTTTACTCAGAGACTTCTCACCTATATCCTCTACTTGTACCAATCATATTCATACTTTAAAGTTCACTTCATTGTGAATATTCTCACTGTTTTGATTTTAAGGACAGGCTAAACTTTCACTATATTAAGACCATGCATGTGTCTCAGACCTACCTCTTTTCCTAGGTCTGTTTTTTTTCCTCCTGTGGTTTTCTTTTTAATGATCTTAAGTCTTATGATCACACATAATTTTTAAATTTGTGTATATCTCCTCTACTTTAATCCTTTTAAGTTGGCAAAGCACCATTCCCAATCACAAATACATAGCAGTTCTACAGTTTTGTTTCTGAATGGCTGTTTAAAGACAATCCTAAATTATAATTTAGTTTGACTTAGACTGTAAAGAATTCAAGAGTGAAGTTTAGTTGGTTACTACTTTAAAAGCATATGACCTTATAGATCATCTATAAAATGTATGACATGTTAAGTAATTTCTGATATTATACATAAACCACACTAAAATGCCTTTCAATAGGTAAAAGGAGCCATTTTAAATACAGGGAATTCTAATTAGATTGGCATAGTTAAGGCCAAAATATAAAGTAGCCATTGCTACCCATTTATCTTCAACCCTTGCCTTTAAGAAGCAAATGAACACAAAACACAGGTGAATCTTGCTTGGTTCTGAGACAGTGAAGGAATTTCCCCCATATTTAAATATATTCACATAACCAGTTATATAAATCTAAAAACAATCTCAAGTTTTAAGATGGCACTCACCCTCTTTGTGAAAAGTTTAACATTACTAACAAAGTCTAATCATATCTTTAGAAGGAGTAAACAGTGACAGCATTTACTAAATTGGAATTACTATTAAAATTTAAAAACTGAACATATTAATTTAACCACAAGTCAGTCTTAGTTTTAAATCATGACTTCCCAACAAAACATTCTGTCAGTCATTCATGATGGAAATTCTGGTGTATGAGATCTATTAAAGTATGGTACACATAAAAAAGTCATGAGACATTTGTTTTGTAATAAATAAGGCAGTGGCCAATTATTACTCATTAGTAGCTTTTTTAAGATAAGCTATCAAGTCTGCCTTTTCTCCCTTCTTCTTAATGTCGGCAAAGATCATTTTTGTTCCAGGGATGTGTATCTTGGGATTCTCCAAATACTCCATCAGTGTATCCTCTCCCCAAGTGATGCCTTTGTTCTTACTGGAGTCAGTGTAAGAGAATCCAGTGGCCTGATCTGTCTTCTGCCCAAAGATACCATGGAGATTAGGCCCAGTCTTGTGCTTGCCTCCGTTTTCCACAGTGTGGCACTGGGAACACTTCTGAACAAAAATCTTCTTGCCTTTCTCAACCATCATCCATATTTAATGCTCTTTCTCCTTGCAGGCGCAACAAAGGTTACCACTCCAAAGCCGGATGTCCCACTCTCTCCCTAGGTCTGTTTTTATAAATGATGGTGATAAACTAGCTCTAACTTATATGATCATTTTGTATGACCATGTAAGAGCTGTGATTCTAGGTTCTCTTTGGTCAACCTTAAGGAAAATGACAGTATAGCTACTCTAATAACTACCGCAAATAATCAGTGCTAATTTGCAAACTTCTGTCTAAAGAACGCATTAACAAAGAAGGGAAATTTCATGACTACCAGCTGCTATTAGATAAGCTGCAAAATTGCTGTATTTTTATTTTCTAGAAAAGTTCACTTCAATTGTTACTTTTTTTTTCCTGAGATGGAGTCTCACTCTGTCACCCACGCTGGAGTACAGTGGTGCAATCTTGGCTCACTGCAACCTTTGCCTCCTGTGTTCAAGTGATTCTCCTAGCTCAGCCTCCTGAGTAACTGGGATTACAGGTGTGCAGCATCATGCCCAGCTACTTTTGGTATTTTTAGTAGAGATGGGGTTTCACCATGTTGGTGAGGCTGGTCTCGAACTCCTGACCTCGTGATCTGCCCACATCAGCCTCCCAAAGTGCTGGGATTACAGGCATTAGCCACTGCGCCCGGCCTAAACTTCTTTTAAAAAAAAAAAAAATCGGTTTAACACTTAGCACAGTACTTTACATTAATTAGGCATCCAAGTAGTATGTGGAATAAATAAAGCCGCCTCTGGATATTCATTTAATTTGAGGATATGTTACAATTAAGTTATTCTAAATCCTACTCCCCCTCCAAAAAGAAAAATACCAGTCCTAAAACAAAGTTCTTAAAGGAGAATATTATCATGGGCTGGGTACACTGGCTTACACCTGTAATCACAACACTTTGGGAGGCTGAGGCAGGAGGATCCCTTGAGCACAGGAGTTTGAGACCAGCCTGGGCAACACAGCAAGACCCCCATCTCTAAAAAAAAAAAATAACAAAAATAACATTTAAAGAGAGAATATCATCATGAATTTAGGCCACAATCTTTTAAATAAAACCTTCAAGAATTTATACTAAGCAAAGTGGTATGAAACTTCCTCCAGTCTAATAATTCCATGAGCTTTTTAAAAGAAGTTTTAGTAAATTTAATTGATATGCAAATTAGAATTCTGAAATTTCAGTGTATTTTACCATGGCCTGAAAGGGTTTACATTTCTAAGTAATAAATGCTACTAAAGTACGTGAATAGTAGTATATATACCAAAGGGATTTTCGCTATTCATCCACATTTTGAATCACTATAAAAACTTAAACAAGAAACTCATCTAGAATGATTTCCTTTTAGAAGGAAGAACAAAGGTGACTTAAATCTGATACAGCAAAGAACCTCATAAAACCTTGACTACTGCTAAACAAATAATTAACTGTGAAAAATAACCTCTCTATGACCACCAAGTAAGAAGTCTTTCCATTTCTTAACCATCCATTTTATCAATGATACAAGCAACTTAAGAATATTAAATTGGACTTTAATGAGTTATTTTTTGAATTCAAATAAAGGTCGATTAAAAATTATACCCAAATCAGAAACTCTCTATTGTTTTCTATTGAAAGATAAGCTTAGTGTTATCAACTTCATTTTCTTTTTTTTTTTTTTTTTTTTTTTTGAGAAGGGGTTTCGCTCTTGTTACCCAGGCTGGAGTGCAATGGCGCGATCTCGGCTCACCGCAACCTCCGCTTCCTGGGTTCAGGCAATTCTCCTGCCTCAGCCTCCTGAGTAGCTGGGATTACAGGCATGCACCACCATGCCCAGCTATTTTTTGTATTTTTAGTAGAGACGGGGTTTCACCATGTTGACCAGGATGGTCTCGATCTCTTGACCTCATGATCCACCTGCCTCCGCCTCCCAAAGTGCTGGGATTACAGGCTTGAGCCACCGTGCCTGGCCAACTTCATTTTCTTAACAGTATGTTAATCTATCTCTTTTATTACCTAAAACAGATTTTTTCCTGCTTTCTATAGATACCAAAATAATGGCCTATTCTTGTCTTTCAGAACCTTAAATTTCAGTTTATTCCTTAATATCTTCTATAATCTCATCCTACAAGGATTCATTAGAACTGTTGTTTTTCTTCAGAAATAACTTTATAGTATATTTTAATACTGGTAAGCAATGAGTTAACATCTATTTATGACTAACCACTACATAGTTCATGTGTCACATGAAATGATTACTGAACAAAATTACTTATATCAACAGTGTTATGCTTCATTGCTGTTGTATAGGTAATGTTTTTGACATATATACAGTACTAAATAAAGCAATGACTCTTAGAACATATACTTTCAGAAAAAGTTATCTATCACTTTCAAATATAAATGCAGTACATTGACAAAGAACCTGCAAAATTCTGAATTAAACTTGATACCCTCTGAGACCATCTACAGAGTTCTGTTCTCCTTAAAGTAATTATTAAAGATGGTGCTATTTCTGGATAAATAAAAGGTAATACTACAGTTATGACATTTCCCTAACAGCAGTTTTTGTCACCCATTTCCATTTTTAATATCAATGTTCAAATTATATGCTTATATAATTGTCTTGTAGGAAATAGTATCACCTAGATTTTTTTTTTACTTAGGCACACTGGAAGAGAAATTATTTTACAATCAAACTCATACTTACCTGAATAATTGTTGCCAATATATTAACATAATTACTTTCAGTTTGATAAAGCTCTTTTGCAACTTGCCACCTTGCTGACTGCTTTGAAGGAACCGGAGTGGAGTTTTTAGAAGACTTAGTACAAGACTTTGGGGTTTCTGAAATGTTAAAAGGTGGAAAGATTTAATGGAGGCCAAATATAAATACCAAACATTATGTAGACTTAACAAGATAAAAGGAGAGAAAACCTACTCTTATAAATCTATCACCATACAGATTTCCACTCAAAATTTTTTTTCTCATAGGCTTAGGCCAGAAAAAATTACTGGTCAAAAATATCACTGATTCCAGTTGGTAGGCATTCTACTAAATGTCATGTACTCTTCAAAAATGTCAAGGTTATTAAAACGTCAAGGTTACTAAAAACAAAGAAAGACTAAGGAACTGTTCCAAGTTAGTGAAGACTAGAGAAAGACAACCTAACAAATGTTTATCAAATGTGTATTGGATCCTAGATCAAAAAGAAAAAAACTTTTTATTTTGCTAAAAAGGACTTTAGGACTTTAATAGGATAACTGGTGAAATCTGAAGTCTACAAAATAATTCATAGCATTAATGTTAATTTTCTTAATAATGTAATGTGTAGTTATTTTAAAAATGTGCCTCTATTATAGGAAACAGTTAAGTAATTAGAGCTAAAGGTACATCATGTCTGCAACTTCCTCTCAAATTGTATAGATATTCAAAATTCATGTGCATATGTGTATGTATGTGTCTTTAGAAAAAGAGATTTTGACTGAATGAATGCTAAAGCAAACATGGCAGAATATGTCCATTTAGGAAATCTGGGTAAAAGTTATAGGAGTCTTGGTACAGCTAAAATAATAGAAGAGGAGGTGTAAAAATACTTACATAAAAAAAGGAAAAGGTTGTTATAATTACACAATTACAATAATGAAAACTTGTCATATACATATATCAAAGAGAAACCCCCCTCAAATAAACCAATATTGACTGAAAATTCTTTGTTAGTTCAAACTATCTTAATGTAATATAAAACAACCAGTCCAGAGTGGAAGGAGGGTGCAATAGTATATTTTATATATATTTCATGAAAGAAAAAAAATTTTAGATAGGCGCAGTTACTCACGCCTGTAATCTCACCACTTTGGGAGGTCGAGGTGGCAGATCACTCTGGAGTTCAAGGCCAGCTTGGCCAACATGGTGAAACCTCATTGCTACTAAAAATACAAAAATTAGGTGGGCGTGGTGGCACATGCCTGTAATCCCAGCTACTGGGGAGGCTGAGGCAAGAGAATCACTTGAACGCAGGAGGCAGACGTTGCAGTGAGCCAAGATTGTGCCACTGCACTCTAGCCTGGTGACAGAGCAAGACTCCATCTCAAAAAATACATATTTTTTCAAAGGTTGAAAAGTGAAATACACGTGTTTCAATGCATAGTAGCTTAAAATACATTTTCTTGCTGTTAATACGGTTAGAATACTTTAACATTATGTATAGAATCACCTAATGGCTAGTTTTTCAATAGGAAAAGAAATGTATGACATAAAATAGAAATGGATGATATAAGAACCATAATATATATTTCCAGCACATCAATTTTACTCAATGATAAATAATTTTAAATGCTTTTATATGAAAACAAACATGTACTATGGAGTTCTGAGTCCTTTTTTTTTTTTTTGAGACAGAGTCTCACTCTGTCGCCCAGGCTGGAGTGCAGTGGCATGATCTTGGCTCACTGCAACCTCCATCTCCTGGGGTTCAAGCAATTCTCCTGCCTCAGCCTCCTGAGTGGCTGGGGTTGTAGGTGTACGCCACCACGCCCAGCTAATTTTTGTATTTTTAGTAGAGACAGGGTTTCACCATGTTGGTCAGGCTGGTCCCGAATTCCTGACCTTATGATCTGCCCACATCAGCCTCCCAAAGTGCTGGGATTACAAGCGTGAGCCACCATGTGCAGTCCTTGAGGGCTTTTTAAAGAAAACAGAATTCAAAACAATTTCTCACTTGCCAAACATTATTTTAGCCTACACTTACCAGACCCAGAAGCCTCTGCCATTAAAGGATATACTTCAGTGGGAAAAAATTGAGACACACTGATCTAATTTAATTATTTTGTGTCTAGGCAATGACCTACAAACTTGGGAATCTATTTTATAGAGCACCTAATATATGAGTATAGTTGTCATATCTGTTTACTTCAGTGGTTCATTTTCTTCTTGTCTCCTAAAATGCATATTCAAGTTTGAGTCCTTTATGATCTCCTCTTACCATCCCATGTCCTTGTCCATTCTGATTATGGACCCAATATATTCTCAGATCTAATCATGATCTCCCTGTCAAGCTGGTTCAACTTTTCCAAATGCCTACTGGATAGTTCTGCCTAATGCAACCTGGATTTCTCTAAAACTACACTACCTTCCTCCAAAATATACACTTCCTATCTACGCCAAGGCAACATTTCTTTCATTTAATTTAGTAATTTGCCTTCACCTCTTTTTATTTCCTTCCTATTACTTCATTCTACCAATATTTCTCTAGTGCTTACTTTTCTTTCCAACCACCACATACTCTGGTTCAGCAGCTTATTGTTTCATGGCTCAAGCCACTGCAATAGATAACATCATGATCTGACTGTCTCCAAACTGCGTTCCTTCTAATCATTCTTCAGAACTCTCTAGGAATTATCTATTCAATTTCTCTGCTGCTCAAGGAGTTTGTAAAATTCCTTGTTGATGACAATATATAGTTCAGATATTAGTTTGATTTGAAAGTTATCTAATATTAGGCCTCAATTAATGTTTTTAACTATTACTCCTCCCATTCCAAGCAAACTGACCTATCCATTCCTTCCTAAAAACTCAATTTGTATGCTATTATCTGTACGTTTGCTCCTCTTTATATTCTCAAATTCATCTCAATTTTCTGGGCCAACCTTAAATTCACTTTTAATTCTTTCGTTAAGTATTTAGTGAATAACTACTTTGTACTAGGGTCTGTCCAAGAATGAAACAGAATAAGAAAAACAAGGTTCATTTTCTCTTAATGATTACTTATTTGAAGAAACTCAAATAATAAAGAAATAAAAACTATAATTTCTATCAGTAATAACTACTACTGAAAACAACAACCAGGTCACAGGGTTGGCAGAAAGTAATAGAGGGATTTAACTTTACAGACAATCCACCACTCAGATTTCCTTGAGGCAAAGAGATCAAGTAAAGTTCTAAGGCATGGATATAGTAAAAACATTTGAAGAAATAAAAGGTGGTATAACTGAAGCTGAGAGAGTGCAGGCATTATTAGAGAACATAATACCACATAAGATTAGGTAGATGAGGGCAAGATTACACAGGGACTTAAAAGCCATGGTAATATGCTGCCCATGGATGTCGTTGAAGAAGCATCATTAAAGTCTCTCTTCTCCTTGAGGTCATGTCTAAGTCAGAGTCCCCTAAAGAGTCCGACCAGCTGAGAAAGCTCTTCATTGGAGGGCTGAGCTTTGAAACAACCGATCAGAGCCCGAGGAGCCATTCTGAGCAATAGGGAACGCTCAGGAACTGTGTGGTAATGAGATCCAAACACCAAGTGCTCCAGAGTCCTTGGGTTTGTCAAAAATGCCACTGTGGAGAAGGTGGAGGCAGCCATGAGTACAAGGCCACACAAGGTGGATGGAAGAGTTGTGGAACCAAAGAAAGCTGTCGCAAGAGAAGATTCTCAAAGACCAGGTACCCACTTAAGTGAAAAAAATATTTTTGGTAGCATTATAGAAGACACTGAAGAACATCACCTAAGAGGTTATTTTGAACAGTATGGAAAAATTAAAGTGACTGAAATCATGACTGACCAAGGCAGTGGCAAGAAAAGGGGATTTGCCTTTGTAACCGTTGACAACCACTGACTCTGTGGGTAAGATTGTCATTCAGAAATATCATACTGTGAATGGCCACAACTGTGAAGTTAGGAAAGCCCTGTCAAAGCAAGATATGGCTAGTGCTTCATCCAATCAAAAAGATCAAAGTGGTTCTGGAAGCTTTGGTGATCATGAAGGTAGTTTCAGTGGAAATGACAATTTTAATCATGGAGGAAACTTCAGTGGTTATGGTGGCTTTGGTGGCAGAGCTGTGGTGGTGGTGGATATGGTGGCAATGGGGATAGCTATAATGGATTTGGTAATGATGAAAGCAGTTTTGGAGGTGGTGGAAACTACAATGATTTCGGCAATTACAGCAATCAGTCTTCAAATTTTGGACCCATGAAGGAAGGAAACTTTGGAGGCAGAAGCTTTGGCCCCTATGGTGGTGGTGGCCAATACTTTGCCAAACCACTAAACCAAGGTGGCTGTGGCAATTCCAATAGCAGCAGTAGCTATGGCAGTGGCAGAAGTTTTTAATTTGGAAACAAAGCTGAGCAGGAGAGGAGAGCCAGAGAAGTGACAGGAAAGCTACAGGTTACAACAGATTTATGAACTCAAGCACAGCGATGGCAGGGCCTACCTGCTACAAAGACATGTTTTAGACAAATACTCATGTGTATGAGCAAAAAACTTGAGGACCGTATTTCTGACTAATTGTATAACAAGTTATTTTAGTTTCTGTTCTGTGGAAAGTGCAAAGCATCCCAAAAAAGGATTTTAATGTAGATTTTTTTTTTCTTGCACCTATGCTGTTGATGGCTAAATGTAATAGTCTGATCGTGATGCTGAATAAACGTCTTTAAAAAAAAAAAAGCTAAAGTAATATAAAGCCATCAGGTGATATTAAAGCAGAGGAGTGCCATCATCTAATTTATATATTTTTAAAGACTTCTCTAAGTGTTACATATAGAAAGGCACAAATTAAAAGGAAGAGAATCAAGACTTCTCATTTAGTTAAGTTTAAGATGTCTATTAGACATGGACAAGGAAGTACAAAGTAGGTAGCTTGACAGGGAAGGGGAAAAATTTGGGAGTCATCAGCATACAAATGTTTTTCAAAACCATGGAACTTACTAAGACAATTTAGGAAGAGTACCATAGAGGAGAAACAACGACTCAGGAGGAACATGCAACATTTAGAATTGAAAAAAGGCCAAGGAGAATGAGAAATGTCCATAAAGGAGTAGCTACTGATGTGCTGAATGCTACTATTGCATAAAAACTGTCTCCTGAGGACTACAGATCAGTTGGAATGGGTTGAAAGAACAATGAGAATCAAGGAAATGAGACAATAGATCAAGGTAATTCTTTTTAAGTATACTGATGTGAACAGGAATAGAAAAATGGGACAAAAGTGGAAAGTGTCATGAGTATAATGGATTTGGTAATGATGAAAGCAATTCTGGAGGTGGTGGAAGCTACAATGATTTTGACAATTACAACAATTAGTCTTCAAATTTTGGACCCATGAAGGAAGGAAACTTTGGAGGCAGAAGCTCCAGAGGAGATTTTGATTTTTTTGTTTCTTAAATCTAGAAAATATACTTGTTTACAGACTAAAAATCAAAGAGAGGGAAATACTGATAAGCAAGGAAGAATTACAGGAGCCTTTCTGTATCAGTTCAGCACAAAGTGAACTCACCCCCCTCTGACTTCATTCTACCTATTTTCTCCATAATTTATGTGACATCCCCTGTGGTTTTGTTTGCTTTCTGAACGGCACTATCACTCTCTAGTTATATGACTCTGGACAAATTACTTAACTTCTCTGTATCTCATTTAGTCATCTGTACAACAGGTATAATAAAATCTATTATAAACACACAAACTATATAAAGCATTTCGCATGTACTAAGCAGTCATCAAATTGCAACATTATTAAGCTTAACTATTCATGTGTCTTTTTCTCTTCAGCTAGAACGAAGGTAATTAAAGGCAAAGACTTTCATATTCACTACATCAGGAATTTATCCATATTCTAACAATTATTCCATTTCACTAAATTTTAAAGGCATTTTTTTTTTAACAATGTGAATTACCTCCGTAGTTAATGCTAGACTCTGGTGTGTTGGAGATATCTAGTAGTGACCCTATAGAAAGGGAATGCTCAGCTGATGCGCGCTTACGAGGAGGAAATGGTGACAGATCTGTCTCTCTTGAAAGCTGAGCAAGTGTTTCTTTTAAACGACGTCTTTTGCGATTGCTGTTAGGGGTATTTAGAGAAAGCATTGACACTGATTTCTTGAGCTCAGGAGTATTTGCCTGTAATCAAAAGCACAAAAGCTCAATTTACCTCCATGGTTCTTTACTGAGACAGGAACAAGAGGAAAATATATTTACAAGTCTGAAAAAATCTGGATTTTGCACAATAATTTTATAACCTATACTCTACCAGGCAATTCAGAAGTTTCATAAAACATAATAGTCAAGAGACAACCGTAATTGTCTAACTCCCAGTACCTCATATTTCTTCATAGCACTTTCACCATTACATTTTCATCTGTAAACTTGTTTACTGTCTGTCTGCTCCTTTATTAGGCCATAAACTCCACAAAGGCAGGGACCATTCATAGTCTGTTCACTGTATCCCTAGTACAGTGCCTGGACACAATGCTTTCTGATATGTGCTGAGTAACACTCGATTTTAAGAGTTCTCTCCCTAAATCTGAAACATACTTTTTAAATGTTGTTATAACTTTAATTGTGAAGAGTCTGAAGAGTGCACAATACCGTACTATACAGATTTTACAGAAACACCTCATCTTCAATATTCCACTTAAAGTAATTAAATCCTAAACTGAAGTAAATCTTCCCTTAAAGCCTACTTCCATAACTCTGTCATTCTGGTGAGTGATACCACTCTTCACCAAGACCCATTATAAAGACTAGATTTCCTTGACGATATTCTACTATTAAAGTCATCTTTTTAATGACATCTCTCCCTTATTCTTCTTCAGTGGCTCCCAATACTTATAGGATAATATCCAAACTCATTAGCATATTAAAAATTTCTTGATTGGCCAGGTGCAGTGGCTCACGCCTGTAATCCCAGCACTTTGGGAAGCCAAGGAAGGCAGTTAGGTATTCGAGACCAGCCTGGCCAATATGGTGAAATCCCATCTCTACTAAAATTACAAAAATTAGTCGGGCATGGTGGCGCACACTTGTAGTCCCAGCTACTCAGGAGGCTGAGGCAGAAGAATCACTTGAACCTGGGAAGCAGAGGTTGCAGTGAGCGAGATCGCACCACCGCACTCCAGCCTGGACAACAGAGTAAGACTCCATCTCAAAACAAATGAAAATTCTTGATTTTATCTATCCATTAAGTTTCATCTGTTGTCCTTCCTTCCCACACTCTATTTTAAAGCCATACTAAGCTACTTGTTATTTTAACGTATTCTCAAAGCTTTCATACCCTCTCCCAATTGAGGTTGTAACAAATGTCATACCTAGTTTGCCTAGTAAGTTGGGTCAACATTTTTTGCCCTGGTTAATCCCATCTGTGTCTTTCAGAAAGAGTGAGGCTACCTAAAATACATTACTCAATTGCAGCACACATCATTCTGCATCACAACTATGTACAACTCTATCTTTCCATTAAGAGCCTAAGTTTCTGAAGATAGAGATACTCTTGTTCATAATGTTATGATCAAGAATTAGCACAGAAAATATATTAGGTTAAAATAATACACATTACATTGAATAGTTCCACTTAAATCTAACACAGACTAAGATAACTTGATATCCCAATTGTTTGAATTATTCTGAAATTCCTAAACATGCTCTCTAAATCTTCTGGACATTAAAGTGTTATTTTCAAACAATCAAGCTTAGAGAACAAATAACTAAGGGGTTAAAAGCATACCTTTTCATATAAATACATAGTTTCTCCAGCCCGGGCATCCATTTGAATGCTTCCCCAGAACCACTAGGTGAAAGAAAAAACATTTTAATAAACAGTTTAAATTTTATCAGAAAAGTTATTAATAGTGTTTTTAAAAACCAACCTCATTCTAGAATTACTTGCCTCTTGCTTCACAACATAAAGTTTCTTTGAAGGTTCAAAGGGAAGATCTTTTACTATATTCTCTTCAACTACAAGGTGAGTGCATCTTTCATCTCCAAGTGGTAAATATTTACCTCCTAAAGAGAAATGCACATAAGCATAAATAAGCCAATTTCCAAACTCAAATTTTTAAAGAGGTGTATTGACCAGGAAGCGATTAAGCAGGCTTAGGCACTAAAATACATATAACTTTCACATTATACTAAATTTTACCTTGCATTTCAGTCATTTCCTCCATATTGGTTTTCTCTTCATCTGAAAATCCCAGAAAACTTAAAACACAATCTTGAAATGGAGGAACTTTAAATTCATTTCTAAAGTCATCAACTGCTGCACAGAAATTCCTGAAAACAAAATAAACTCTTCTAAAACCAGTTTAACTTAAATTCAAGTGTTAAGTATATCAATAAATCTATAGTAATTTTCAAGGTCTTAGCATAACCTATTGAAACTATTTTACTTTGGTCCTGAACTGTTCACAAAAACTTCAGTTTAAAAAACTGATGTGTCCTCAGTCATCCCAAAAGTACTTTCTGACCAAATGTGATTACAGATAAGGTTACAAAAGATTCAAATATTTTCTGTTATATGAAATTTTATATGTACTGTGTTCTAAGGGTTTCATGAAATCTAAGTAATGATAACTTTCATGAAATCTTAATCAATGATGAAGTGCCACGGCAAGAAATCATGAGCTCGGAAAGCTAAGCAAAACAAGGAAATAAATTACAAGCACCAAATAAAATGTAACCAGACAACATAAAATTTTAAAAATATGTAACAAAATCCAAATACAAAGACTTAGCTATTATCTAATGATTTCAGAATGTTTATAATAGTCAAAATTACTTCACAAGGTAAAATCCAAAGATATCACAGGTGTCTTTCAATTTTCAATTTTTTATAATTTTTTATTTTGCTCTTCCTAGATTTTATTTCCAAAGCTACTCAGACTGAATTTATTTTTTCTATCTATGAAGTTACCTTCTTCAGCACATGGATTTATCTTTAAAGCAGAATATTTAATTTACATAATGAACTACTAAATTTCTAACCACTTACTGTTCATTTCGCCTTTCCCAAGCTTTATAAATCCATTCTGGCTTCATAATTGGAGTACCTAGACTCACAGCAACCTAAAAATATAAACATTACTCTGAATTTTCTCCTTAAATAACTGCATTCAAGGAAGTTCTAAACAGTTACATACTTAATTTTTTTTTTTTTTTTGCAGTTTTAGATCACTATTTGCTTTCTAACAACATATTTAAAAAATTAGCAGAAAAACTGTCTATCATACAACTTAGGTTTAAATAACTTTAAAACAAGTTCCATAGTGTCCAAACTGTTTCCTTACTTTATTTTAAATAAATATATCTCTAAAGTTCATCTTTATTAAATTTCTATTTCTCTCTTTTCTTCACGTTTACTTCTTTGGAAGTATGAACCCCAAGATGACACTACAGAAGAAGACATCAGACCAAGTCACTAAAAACTTAGATATGAGTTGGAACATTTAGGGTAAATGGAAGAGTACCCTAAAATTGCCATTTGCTACACAAATACACTAAGGGAGACAGAAAAAAATGATAAATTCTTGCTGAGGCATTTAACTAAAATCTTAAACTAAGATTTCAATCCTAATAAAAGTATCTTTTCCTTTTATAATTTTCTCAATTTAAACCTTAGAACCACTTTAAAAGAGCAGATCTCTGTTTACTTATAAAGGGAACTTAGACAAGAGTGAATTATCTGCTCTCACAATTCCTCCAATGTTATTCATCTACCAACCCCCACAATCCTAGTCATCTTTCAACACCTCACTCAAGTTCCATTGCCTACTTAAAACTTAACCACTTTTGGCCGGGCATGGTGGCTCACACATGTAATCCCAGCACTTTGGGAGGCCAAGGCAGAAGGATCACTTAAGCCCAGGAATTCAAAACCAGCCTGGGTATCAGAGTAAGACCCCATCTATTTAAAAAAAGAAGAAAGAAAGAAAGAAAACTTAACCACTCTTATGATTTAAAAGTTTTTACTAAATATACTTAGAGCAAAAATTAAGTTTCTGTGTCTTAATTGTGGAAGAAATAAAAGATTGCTATTAAACCCATCCCAAAATAATGCCGTATTGAAATACACAAAAAAACCCAAATTTACATACCCTGAATTTTTCTCCTTGTGTACAATTTGCCACCAAATGTGTAACTTTTGAATTAAAGTCTTTTCGAATAACTCCACCCATGTGATGGACCAATGTCACCAATCTGACCTCAAAAGAAAAATTAAGCAACAATGACTTCATGATTATTTAAACAAAATTTCAACTACTGCTTACCACTCATTTAGCATTTACTAAATACTTTCTATTTATAAAATACATACAGGATTTTAATAAAGATAATAATTTTATGTCAAACTAAGTATTTAAAAAAAGATTAGTTTGCCTATTAACACAGCAAAATTACAGAGGTGGGATTAGTAAAGATTATCACGGAAAACTGAGTTAAACAACTGGCTTTCATATTGCCTAAAAATGTTGCTAATACCATACTGCGTAAATATATTGTTTAAAAAATACCAAGTTTTATCACATCAAGACTCTTCCCACAGAATTAACAGTAATACCCATCAGTTCCAACAACAAAGTATTGTGAACCAAAGAAAGAACTTTCTATGAATTCTCTAGGGCAACAGAATAGGGCTGAACTTGTAGAATAAAAAATTGCCACGTATAAACAAAAACTTTAAGTAACCAATGCAGCCAATATGCAGCCAACAAGACAGTCAAACAGAATTGCTATGAAATCTTTCTGTTAATTCATATTAGCCACCGTAGACAAAACATTGGATTCTTTACAAGGCTCTTCAGAATTTGTTTCTTCACAAAATTTAAACTGGTATAGACACAATGTTTCCCTTCAATATTTTAAAAATAAAACCATAGTACTAAAATGAACAGCAATTTATTTTGCTGTAAAAAATATGTTTTGAAAAAAATTTATTTCATAATACTTACTAGTTCTTCCTTTTTCCTAAATCCAGTAAAGCATAGTACTAGATTCATCATACTTGTACAATACAATGGGCGACATGAAAATGGCAAAGGCTGAAGGATACAACAATTTTAAATGTGAGATTTCTCTTTAGCACAAAATACAACAAAACTTTCTCAAGCTAAATATATTTCCCCGCTTGCCATTCAACTTTCCCAATCCAAAGATTTACTGGCATTTTTAAATATGCAACAAAAAAACAGCAAAAAGACAGATTGCAAGTTTTCCAATAAAAATATTTCCAATGATTCCTTAAACATATGTGATATACATAACCTAAACACTTTACTATCAGCAAATAAAACAAATATTAAATGCACTGACACACATAAAGTACTGTCTATAAGCAAAGTTTTCAGACTCCATACACTACTATAAATGATTCTAATTAATGTTATTAAAACAGGTCAGAGGAGTTTCATAATAAACACCGAGTAAATGTAATACATACACTTTTTTTCTTTTTTGTCAAGTGCTCAGTGTGAATAATACATACACTTAAACCAAATAAAATTCTAATCTTTAAGCTAATAAATGGTGATATTCAGTAAATAATTTACCCAATGATTTTCTGTGTACAAGAGAATGGTTTAAAAATAATAAAAGAATAAATTTGATTTTCATCATTATATAAGATTATTTTTCAAAATTTAGTCTTTGAAAGTTTATTTGGGTTTTGAAAGCAACCACTCCAAATCAAAATGTTAGAGAATTAAAGGTTAAAATGTCCTTATTACTAACATGTATAACAATAGAAGTACAAACACCTAAGCAATTTTAAGTAAATAAGGCAAGCTTAAGAATGCCTAGACAGCAATAAAACCAAATAGAAACTAATTCTCATACAACTCATGTTAAAATACTGTTTAAAAACAGTATTTTATCGGAGGCAGAGGTGAGTGGATCACACGAGGTCAGGAGTTAGTGACAAGCCTGGCCAACATGGTGAAATCTCATCTCTACTAAAAATACAAAAAAAATTAGCTGGGTATGGTGTCATGCACCTGCGGTCCCAGCTACTTGGGAGGCTGAGGCAGAAGAATCACTCGTACCCAGGAGACAGAGGTTGCAGTGAGTGGAGATTGCACCACTGCACTCCAGCCGGTGTGATAGAGTGAAACCTTTTCCCAAAATAAACAAACCAGATAATCTTCTCTAAGACACTGTGGTGTTAAGACTGTGTATATGTCTGTGAATATGCATATGTACAATTATCATTATTTAACTTTCAAAGACCTTAGCTTTCCACTACTAAGTTTGAAATAGAGGAATTAAAGGACCACATTAGAGTAGCCACCATTATTCCTATGCTAAATGTTTTACTCTCAACAATTAATGAGATTTTTTCCAAATGAATTTTTTGCTAATTAAAATTCATTAATAAAAATTTAAACTTGAAAAGTCATGATAAATAACACATATGCTTACCTCTCCTTTTTGTGAACAATTTAATACAACTGGTGGTCCAATAACTCTACAATCAGCCTTGTAGAGGTCATTAAAGACAGAATCCTGAAAGTCCATGACTACGAATACATTTTCAAATTCTGGAGAATCCAAGCCTTCAAATTCTTCCACTGACTCCATCTTTACAAAGCATACTTTAATTTCCTTTTTGTCATGTAGTTATTAGAAATAAAAAATATTTATATATCAAATAATCCGTCTTTCTAAATAAAGCTTAAAAAATCAGTATCAACATTTTTAATGTTTATATTTGTAGAAAACAAGTTTCAATCATACAATAATCAGCGTTACTCTTAATATTTCTTTACTTATATTTTTACATATACATACCTCCATTCAAATTGTTTTTAAAATCTTAAAGATCAATATTATAAAGGTATAATTCTGACTTATCACTTATTAGTCATAAATCATTAAGTATGCATAATTCCATAAAATTAGAATGCTAAAGTTTTTAAGTACATGCATTTTGATATGAGGATGCATTAGAAAGATATCCACTCCAGATCAAGAAAATGATACCATACATAAAGTTCTTATTGTACAAATTATCTTCAGAAAAATAGGAAAATAATACTACAGCACTTAATACTTACAGAAAGGAAAATTAGCATAATCATTTTAGTAGATATGTGAGAAAGAAGAGAAAGATACACAATATGTAGGTAGTTGCAGTATGGCAAATGCAGGATATAAGAAGGCAAGTTACTTACAGTAAACACTTTAAACATCCACAAAAAATAATGAAGACACTAAAGTACCTATATAACTCTTTTAACTCTTGCGTTAAATTTAAAAAAAAAATAAAAATAAAAGCTCAAAATGAGTCAGTAAATTATTTGAATTTTATTTGCAAGGCTGCTGCAATGTGAATGAATACCCTCGAAATTCATATTGAAGCCCTAACCTAGAATGAAGAATGAAGTCCTTAGTATGTGACTATATTTGGAGATAAGGACTTTAAAGAGGTAATTAAGGTTAAATGAGATCATATGGATGGGCCCTAATCCAATCTGGTGTCCCAATAAGAGCAACTGCCAGGGATGCAAGGACACATAGAAGAAAGGCCATGTGAGGACACTGCAAGCTAAGGAGAGAGGCCTCAAGAGAAAGTAAACCTGCACACACCTTTATCTTGGACTTCTTGCCTCCAGAACTCTGAGAAAAGAAATTTCTATTGTTTAAGCAACTAAGTATGTGGTATTTTGTCATGGAAGCCCTAGCAAACTAAAATAGCTGGATTTGAGAATTAGATATTTCGTATGCTGAGGCAAATTCCCTGATGATTATAAATTAATGTGATTTATAATTGTGGAAATACAGCAAGAATTTAGGCTGTATAAAATTAATGAGAAGAAGGAAGCTAAGGAGTTTGAAAGAAAATTATCAGATCATTGTAGATTTTATGTCAATTACAGTTACAATGGAAATCCTTATAA